TTTCCCTGTCACTCTCTCTCTGGCAAGTGCATGTGCCCTATGGCAAAATAATCTAAAACAAACAAATACATTATTGTTTTCCATGTTATCCAGTGGTATTAAACACACCTGGGAGAAATACAGCTCACCAAATTCCTCCAGGAGGTGAAGTGTTGGTCACTTCTGCTGAGCAATTTCATAAATGCCACCTGTATCTCTCTCCTTTGGCAGGAAGGCACGATTGGATGTCTCTCTCTCTCTTTCCTCTCTCTCTCTTCTTTTTTTCAAATCTTTCCTCACTTCAATATTGTATTTCTTATTTATATCTCTGAACAGGGGAGGTTGATAGAAAAGTAAAGTGTGGGGGGAGAAAAGCATCAATAAAACATGTTTTCTTATTTGTCCACCTCATTCCAGGTCTTGTCTGTCTCATAACTAATGGAATCTTAGGAACTTAACTGTTTAAAAAGTGTTTTCCTTGTTTTACAGGGATTTATTTAGGGGCAGTCACTCAGAAGAAAAGGCCAATACTCTACTGGATGTCATAAGCTCTTGCTCAGTCACAAGTGCTGTTTCACACACCATCCTGCTGTCCTTGAATATGTTCAGGATGCTGCAATGGACTGAGGAGAAGCAGTTGGCCTTATCTGGAGTTAAGAATGACTCTTCTCTTTTCTTTTGTTTTCCCATAAGCCCCTGTAGATGGACATACAGGATTATAGCACATCTCATAAGTTTCCTGTAATAATTTCTAGAATCGAGCATTATTATGTTATGCACACTCAATGCTATGAATTAATGGTCTAGTGATCTGGGTGGCATGTCATTCTCTCCATCTCTGGTTCATCACCCATGATAGGGCAGTAAAGGTGACCACTTAGAGTCGGAACTGTTGAAAGTATCCTGGACTCCTCAGGACTTAGAGCTTCCTCTCTCCCAGGAGCCATGGGTCTCCCAAGAGCCATGCTGACCTTCATTCTCTGTGGGTTGCTAACTCAGGTGACCAAAGGTAATGAAACCCTATAAGTGGGAATGATGCTACCAGGATGAATTTGTTGCCCTTACTCTCCCCATTAGCTTGAGGGGAAAAGGAGTCTACAGGAAAGAGCAGTAGATGGCCAGCCTGTGGTGTGGAAGATCTCACGTGGCCAACAACGCAGTTTGAGTCCCAGATGCAGTACCTGTGTGTATGTGCCCAAAATTCCAAAAAGTGGGAGAGGGAGAAGAGAAGGGATTGTGATGTAACCATTCCCTGTAAGGGTGCTTTCTCATTTTCTCTTCTCTCTCTTTTTCTCTCTCTTCTCTCTGTCTCTCTCTCTCGAATCCTCTGGCAAAATTTAATAATAAAAAAGAACGGCAGAAATGCTCTTGATTTGGCAGTTCCATGCCCCCAATCTCTAAGAATTTTTCTGTTAGGGGCATCTAGCAAGCTGCAGTGTCCTCTGAGACATCTTTCCTGTGTCCTATTAGTTCAATTCTTCCTACCATCTTGAATTCTTCTTTGTCTTGAAAGTGACTTCAGAGGGAGGCTCTTATTTTGTGTCCCTGGATATGATGAACAAGGCTCCATCAACAATGTCTGTAGATCCTAAGAGACAACATATATAAGTTTAGAGTGAAAATGGGGATAAGAAGAATGAAGACAGGGTGGAAAGACTAGTGACCAAAGGGAAGCTTCTGATTTTAGATCAACATGAAAAGCTTTATTTTTTTTAATAATCCTACTTTTGAAAAGTATCTACTTTTCCTTGAAAAATATTATTTGCAATTGATTCATATTTCAAGCAATTAATAGGTTATATGGGTTTAAGGAAAAGTACTCTCCTACTCAAGAATGTTAGTCTCCAGTCTTCCCTTTCAGAATCAAGCAATGCTACCAATTTCTTGAATATTCAAGCAAATACAATAAATATATTTACATGTGTATACTTTTAGATTTTGAAAACTTCAGTTGTGGGCCCAGCCATGATGGTGCACACAGTAGGGCATCACTTTGTGAAGCTGGGCTGGCATGGGAGGGCCAGATTTGGTTCCTGGACCAATCTAAATGGATGTGATAGCACGTATCCATGCTTCTAGCAAACTGGAAGGCTATAGAAGAAGGTTGTGACATGGTGTGACTCTATCAAAAATATCCATCTCTCTCTCTCTTTCGTGTCAAAAAGATTAAATTGTAAATGAATCGTGTGAATGGTTTTTAAATGTACTAGCAATGTGTCTTAGCATAAGTCTGGTTCATTATTTTTATTTACATTTAATCATTATACATCTTTATAGCATATGATATGGGTTCTCAAAGCATCAATGCATTGCACATCAAGTAAGTCAAAGATATTACTGTACACAGTAACTTTAAATTTTTGTGTCGGTTAAATTTTTTTCTTGACCCTTAGATCCCACCCCCAACTGTCCACCCCTCTTATGCAGTTTCTGGTGTCTACACTTGCTGCCTCTGCTATTATATTTTCCAGTCTTTCAGTTTCTGCTGTAAAGTGCAGACATTTGGTGTATATTGGGTGCAGACATGCAAAGTCTGTCTTTCATAGTCTGGCTTGCTTTGCTTAGCATTTAGTCTTCTATATTTATCCTCTATGTACCAAACAACAAGATGTCATTGTTTTTTATGGCTGAGTAGTATTCCATAGTTTATATGAGTCACATTTTTTTCAATACGGTCATAGATTCTTGGCTCTCTCACCCTTAGGAAAAATCAACTCAAAAAGGATCAAAAATCTAAACATAAAGACTCGAACTATAGAAGTACTGGTAGAAAACATAGAGGAAATTCTTGAAGACATTGGAGTAGGCACAGATTTCTTAAATAGACCCCAAAACACAGGCAATAATCACAAAAAGACAAGTGAGACTACGTAAAGTTACAAGGCTTCTGCACAGCAAAGGAAGCAATCAGAGTGAAGAGACAAGCCTCAGAATGGGGGAAAATATTTGCAAACTGCGCTTCAGATAGGGACTGATAACCAGAATACATAGGGAATTCAAGCAGCTTCCCTGCAAATAATAATAATAATAATACAATTAAAAAGTGGGCAAACAAGCTAAACAGACAACTTTTCAAGGAAGATATATAATGCCCAAAAAGCATATGAAAAAATGTTCAATGTCTCTTCTAAGGGAAATGCAAATCAAAACCACAATGAGACACCATTTAACCATGGTTAGAATGGCTATAATCAAAAGAGTAAAAAATGACAAGTGCTGGTGAGGCTGTAGCGAAAGGGGAACTCTCCTATACTGTTGATGCAAATGTGAATTAGCGCATCCACTGTGGAGAACAATATGGAGGTTCCTCAAAAATTACAAGTAGAACTCCCATACAACCCAATAGTACCACTCCTGGGTATTTATCCAAAGGATAAGAAAACACTCAGTCAGAAACATATTTGTACATCCCTGCTTATTTTACAGCATTATTCACAATTGCTAAGACATGGAATCAACCTAGTTCATTGTTTTTAACTGATACTTCAAACTTGGAGGAAGAGGAGTGAATCGCTTCACTGTAATTGCTCCACTTCTGCCAGAAAAGTACTTTAATTATTACAAATAATTCAGGAAAGAACATTAGTAAACCAATGTATACCTTTTCATTTATGACTAGACACACACCTGTGCAGACACACACACAAACATGTCAAGTTACCCATCAACAAAGCTTCACTACTTTTTGCTCCATCCTCAGTTGCATGAGTGTCGGCTTCCCCTACACACATTGGTCCTCCTTTATTTTCCTATTGTAGTCTTCCAAGTTTTAGTCTGATAATGCAAAAATGGTGTCTTCTTGTTTGAATTCATTCTACATTACACTTAAGACTTGTCAGCTTGCCTCAAGTTTCTTCAAAATAGGAAGTGGTTTCTTCTACCCTGGAACTGAGCATTCACTGATCCTTCCCAGAAATACTCTTTATCTCTTGTGTACCTTACTGACTGATTTTCATTCTTCTTGTCTAGGCTTAAATATCAGCTCCAATATGTCTGCTCTCTTTTTCTTTCCCTCTCTTTTTTCCTTCTTCTTCCTCTTTCTATCTTCCTTCTTCTTCATTCTCTCTTTCTTCCTCCCTTTCTCTGTCTCTCACCCCAATTTCTTTGTTGGCACATGTCACAACTTTAAACATACGCTTTCTATTTCTTTTGTTTTGCTTTGTCTCTCTCAATGGTTTTAAGCATTTGTTTCTATATTAATCTAGATGATGGTGGCAGTTGTGAATTTTTGAATAAATGAAAGTTGATATGTTAATGCTAGAATTAAAAAGTTGACCTACAGACTATGGAAGAGAAGCATTGTATGTCTCCTCTTAATATATACCAAATGTATGCACTCTATGGCAGAAACGGAGAAACTGGACTGTGTAAAAGCAGGGAGTGCAACTGTAGATACTAGAGACACTTTTGGAGGGGGCAGGCAATAAAAGAAGGAAGGAAGGGAATTAGGGGGAAAATATGTTTAAAAGACACAAAAATGAAAGTTATCTGGTGATGATAATGTATACGACAGTAACTTTGGATTAATATACACTCTATTCATGCTTAGAAAAAGCATTTTGTATGCTGCACATATGTACACCATTTAACCATGGTTAGAATGGCTATAATCAAAAGAGTAAAAAATGACAAGTGCTGGTGAGGCTGTAGCGAAAGGGGAACTCTCCTATACTGTTGATGCAAATGTGAATTAGCGCATCCACTGTGGAGAACAATATGGAGGTTCCTCAAAAATTACAAGTAGAACTCCCATACAACCCAATAGTACCACTCCTGGGTATTTATCCAAAGGATAAGAAAACACTCAGTCAGAAACATATTTGTACATCCCTGCTTATTTTACAGCATTATTCACAATTGCTAAGACATGGAATCAACCTAGTTCATTGTTTTTAACTGATACTTCAAACTTGGAGGAAGAGGAGTGAATCGCTTCACTGTAATTGCTCCACTTCTGCCAGAAAAGTACTTTAATTATTACAAATAATTCAGGAAAGAACATTAGTAAACCAATGTATACCTTTTCATTTATGACTAGACACACACCTGTGCAGACACACACACAAACATGTCAAGTTACCCATCAACAAAGCTTCACTACTTTTTGCTCCATCCTCAGTTGCATGAGTGTCGGCTTCCCCTACACACATTGGTCCTCCTTTATTTTCCTATTGTAGTCTTCCAAGTTTTAGTCTGATAATGCAAAAATGGTGTCTTCTTGTTTGAATTCATTCTACATTACACTTAAGACTTGTCAGCTTGCCTCAAGTTTCTTCAAAATAGGAAGTGGTTTCTTCTACCCTGGAACTGAGCATTCACTGATCCTTCCCAGAAATACTCTTTATCTCTTGTGTACCTTACTGACTGATTTTCATTCTTCTTGTCTAGGCTTAAATATCAGCTCCAATATGTCTGCTCTCTTTTTCTTTCCCTCTCTTTTTTCCTTCTTCTTCCTCTTTCTATCTTCCTTCTTCTTCATTCTCTCTTTCTTCCTCCCTTTCTCTGTCTCTCACCCCAATTTCTTTGTTGGCACATGTCACAACTTTAAACATACGCTTTCTATTTCTTTTGTTTTGCTTTGTCTCTCTCAATGGTTTTAAGCATTTGTTTCTATATTAATCTAGATGATGGTGGCAGTTGTGAATTTTTGAATAAATGAAAGTTGATATGTTAATGCTAGAATTAAAAAGTTGACCTACAGACTATGGAAGAGAAGCATTGTATGTCTCCTCTTAATATATACCAAATGTATGCACTCTATGGCAGAAACGGAGAAACTGGACTGTGTAAAAGCAGGGAGTGCAACTGTAGATACTAGAGACACTTTTGGAGGGGGCAGGCAATAAAAGAAGGAAGGAAGGGAATTAGGGGGAAAATATGTTTAAAAGACACAAAAATGAAAGTTATCTGGTGATGATAATGTATACGACAGTAACTTTGGATTAATATACACTCTATTCATGCTTAGAAAAAGCATTTTGTATGCTGCACATATGTACACTGATTAAATGTAAATTTAAAAAAAATAATTTTAAAACTTGATCTGCAGCTGGCTGGGAAGTCAAAAAATGCTGGAAGAAAAATATAGGACACTGCAGACAACGATGTTTAAATACAGAAAGGTACATTCGTCTTTGTCGGAACAAGCTATCCTGCTGCATTTCTTTATTTACAACAGAAGAGTACACCCGAAGGCCAATACCTCCCTTGTTCCAGATAGAGGATATAACACTTACTTCTGACAACTCAGAGACTTTTTCTGGTTCCCCAGTATCTAAGTTGAATGATATGGTAACATTTGTTAGACATACGTCTACTGAAGAGGTTACTTCGGAAGCTACTTCCCCATTCGGGGAACCTTCTCGGTTGCCTATGGTTACAGTTGATTAATGTTTCCTTCTGTATATGGAACAACTAGAAATAATATCCAGGGAACTAATTCTACTGATCTAATTTCACTGAGACAATTTCATCTGAGATTGGCTATTCATTGAGATGGACATCCCTGCTACAACCAAAACAAGCACCAATGACAATTACTTTACAATTAGAAATTTGTAGAGAAAAGTGTACAGAAGATAAAGAGATTCCCTTTACTTTAAGTTTAAATCCTGTATTTGTCTCCTCTGATATACTAAAATATACAGGCAAATTTAGTTTCAAGTGACCTTTGTGTGTTTATGTATGTTTCCAAGACAAAAATAAAAGGTGAAGAGCATTGTTTGGTCTTTGTTTGCCTATTATGGTTAAAACAGGATTTTATTTATTTATGATTGATTGATTGATTTGTGTATTTATTTATTTATTGTCAAAAGGCACATGCACTCACAAAAAAAGAGAGAGAGCGAGAGAGAGAGAGGGAGAAGAGAAAGTACACCCCCATGGGAGATGCTCAAGCTGTAATCCCTTCTCCTCCTCCACCTCTCTCTTTGGAATTTTGGGCACACATGCATATGCACGCAACATTTCTGAAGCCACCAAGTCTAGGACTCTAGTCACATGATTAGCCATGTGAGATTCAGCTGCCTTAACTATCAGGCCATAGAGCTGGTCCAAGCAAGGATTTTTACTTTAGATTACTAACCCATTATCAGATAGACGATAGAAATAGATAGGTGATAGAGATAGATAGATAGATAGATGATAGATTAGATAGAGATAAATATAGATATAGGTGATATAGATATAGATATAGATAGATATATAAAGATAGGTATATGATAGAGAATTAAAGACACATAGCAAGTTTTAGAAAAATGTCTCTTTCCTTGCCCCTCCCCCACCTTTAAGTTCTGATCCTAAATCTCTTTCTGTATCATGACATCAAATTTTGTTTAAGTCTTTAGCTAGGAATGAATCCAATCAGTTAGAGTTGGAAACTAACCCTTTCATCTTGCACAATCACTGATTTCACTGGATAGAGATAAAAATGGGACTTGCCTTGAGAGCACATTGTGTTAAGCTAAATGCTGCATCCCAATTTCTATTTATTTTTCCAATGTTCCTCCCACTTATGAGTCCTCCTTCCAACTACTGTGACCTCATGACATGCCTCTCCAGGTCACCTTGTTACCTGTGAATGCTAGTTGTATATAGTGCATCTGAACTTTGGGTGGCCATACACATGTGACTGCTTTTTCTATAGCAACAGATGGGTCAATGAGTTTCCTCTCTGATATAACAATCGCTTATTACTATAATATTGATTAGTGATCAATGAGTTGGGCTAAGGCTTGAGTGCTATTCAGAACTATAGTATCATTCACCTGGATATTTCAGAATCAAGAAGGTTTATTTCTCTAATTCTTTTTTTTTTTTAAGTTTATTTCATTTACAAGAATGACAAAAAGAGAAGGAAAAAAAGAGACAAGCACTCTCAACAGAATCTCATGCCACAACCACCTTCCCCAGCCTTCCCACTGAGTCAGGAGCATGGGTTTGTACTCCTGTGAACTGAGGACTAGAACCCATAAACTTCAATCATCTTTATGGATCCAGCTTCACTTAAGTAATGTATTATCACTACCACTGAGCTGGCCTTATTCCTCTAATTGTTTTCATGTGTTTTATGTCAAGCTACCACTGACCACAGCTGTAGTATGGATATTAGCCATTAGACTGCTGACCTGTCAATAGGTATTCTAATATCTCTTACATATTCCAGTATCTCTTACACCTCCAGTATGGGTGAACAATCATTTTTATTTGCCTGGGAGTGAGACACTTCCAGAACATGGGAATTAGAGTGCTAATATAGTCCTCGGTAAACTGAGCCAAGTTGATGAACTGCTGCTCTTCATTGTACTTATCTTAAAAGCTCTTTTTCTACTTATTTTTGTGACTACCCATACTGCATTACATAGGTCATATGCTAACTTTTCATAGAAGTATTCTTCAGTTATAAAAATTTCCCTGGAGGGACCAGCAGATGGCATAATGTTTACGTCACTGGACTCACATGTAGTCAACCACAGTTTGCATTCCTGACCTGGAGACTTAAAACTCACACCTGGTGCATGCATGCCCAAAATCCCCAGGGGAGAATGAAGGAGAGGGGATTACAATGTGGCCATTCCCCCTCTGTCTCTCTGTCCTCTCTTTCTCTCCAGTGAGCATATGTGATCTATAGCAAAAATCTCTCTAAAAAAAAAAAAAACTCCTTAAAACCTAAGCATAGTTAAGTCTCTCTTTCTATAATACATCTTTATCTCAAATGTCATCTCCTTAGAGACAATCCTTGACAATGCAAAACACTATTTACTCTGCTTTGTATCATAATCTATCACTTTAATGTTTTGAAATTATTTGATCATTTACTCTCCTGAATTATTTGCTTATTTACAGCCTGTCACACACACACATACATGCACACACTATAATGTACATATTCTACCTATTTCTCTTTATTTTTTAAGACAGGGTCTCTTCTTGTTGCAATCCTCCTGCCTCAGCCTCCTGAGTAGCTGGGACTATGGGTGCATGCCACCATACCATCTTTTAGGGTGAGCCAGGAAATGAGCCTAATCCTCTCATGTGGCCGTAGTCTGTGGAGCAGCAATGTGTTACCAGTGCATGTCACCATGGCTTGGTTATAATCTTTATCTCTTGGTCTTGTTTAGGACTGTGTCCTAAACTTTTCTAATACTAAACAAATCTTAGAATTTTTTTATATCCCTGTGAAAAATGTCACTGATTATTTTATTGAAATTGCATTGTATTTGTAAATTATTTTGGGTAGAACTAATATTTTCATTATATTTATTCTTCCAACCCAAGAACACTGGACTTAATGGTATAGAAACTACATTCATTATCTTTTCTGATCACAGTGGAATTAAGCTTCAAATTACACAAAATACACAAAAGCATGGAAATTAAACAAATAATCTAAAACTAAGCTAAACTAAACAATCCACTCTTTTTTTTTTCTTTTTTTGGAGAGGTTTTTGCACTTGCCAGAAAGACAGAGAGAGACAGAAAGCGAGAAATCACCCCCCAGGGGGTATGACCACACTGCAATCCCTTCTCCTCCATTCTCCTCTCGGGATCTTGGGCACGCACGCACATGTGCCTGGTGTGAGTTTAAGCCGCTAGGTCTGGGACTCAAACCTCAGTCGACTACGTGGGAGTCCAGCGACATAGCCATTACGCTATCTGCTGGTCCCAACAATCTACTCAAAGGACTTCAAAATTTTAAAACCAAAATCAAAAGATACATTGACACCAGTGAGTATGAACACACAACTCTCCATAATCTGAGATACAGCAAAAGCAGTCATAAGAAGAAAGTTTATGGGAACCAGCAGTTAGCGTAATGGCTATGTCGCTGGACTCCCACGTAGTCGACCACAGTTCGCGTCCCGGACCCAGTGGCTTAAAACTCACGCCGGGTGCGTGTGCGTGTATGCCCAAGATCCCGAGAGGAGAATGGAGGAGAAGGGATTGTGGTGTGGTCATACCCCCTGGGGGGTGATTTCTCACTTTCTGTCTCTATGTCTCTCTTTGTCTGTCTGGTGAGCGCACGTGCCCTATAGCAAAAACCTCTCCAAAAAAAGAAGAAGAAGAAAGTTTATTGCAATTAGTGCTCACAAGAAAAAAAATTTAGAAAGGTGGAAAATAAATAATCCAACAACACATCTCAAAGAACTGGAAAAACGACCAAAAAAATTCCAAAATATCAAAGAAATAATAAAGAATAGGGCAGAAATAAATAAAATAAAGAATAAACAAACTATACAAACTATATAAAACATAAATGAAACCAAAAGCTGTGCATCTCCACAAACTATTTATTTATTTATTTATTTATTTATTGGGGGGGGGAGAGGTTTTTGCTATAGGGCACGTGCGCTCACCAGACAGACAGAGAGAGACAGAGAGATAGAAAGCAAGAAATCACCCCCCAGGGGGGATGGCCATGCTGCAATCCCTTCTCCTCCGTTCTCCTCTTGGCATCTTGGGCACGCACGCACACGCACCTGGTGTGAGTTTTAAGTCACCGTGTCTGGGACACGAACCGCAGTCGACTACATGGGAGTCCAGCGACATAGTCATTATGCTAACTGCTGGTCCCTCCACAAACTATTTCTAAAGATCCAAAAGGAGCATTTCCAAACTCAGTCTATGAAGCCTCCATCATCTTGATCCCAAAAGCAAAGAAGGACATAACAAAAATGAAAACTACAGACCAATATCCCTGCTGAATACAGATGCAAAAATATTCAACAAGATACTAGCAAATCAAATCCCACAACACATTAAAAAGATTATCCACTATGACCAGGTAGGCTTTATCCCAGAGATTCAGGGGTATTTCAATATACATAAAACAATAAATGTAATATGTTAACAAACGAAAAGGTAAAACCATATATTCATATCAATTGATGCAGAAAAAGCATTTGATGAAATACAATATCCCTTGGGATCAGCAGTTGGCATAATGGCTATGTCACTGGATTCCCATGTAATCTACCGTGGTTCGAGTCCCGGACCTGGTGGCTTAAACTCACAGCAGGTGTGTGTGTGCCCAAGATCCTGAGAGGGGAATGGAGGAGAAGGAATTGCAGTGTGGCCATCCCCCCCTGGTGGGGGGAGGTGATTTCTCACCTTCTGTCTCTATCTCTCTCTGTCTTCCTGGCAAGCACATCACTCTATAGCAAAAACCTCTCCCCCCCACAAAAAAAAGTATCTATTTACAATGTCCCTTTACGATTAAGAATCTCAGTAAAAGGTTCTAGAAGGAACGTTTCTCAACACAGTAAAACCCATCTATGACTAACCCATAGCTAACATCATACTGAGTGGAGAAAAACTGGAAGCTTTGCCACTAAACAGTGAAAGAAAGCAAGGTGCACACTTTCCACTAGAAGTAATAAAAGAATTGCGTA